GATCCTTAGGGACCTGCCAGAACTGGTCCACCAAGTACTTGGTGAGGGCTCTCCTGACCCGTGAGTGGAGAGAGGTATGCCTTGGGATGCCACCTTTTGTCGAACACTCTAGGACCGCGCGTGGCCATTTTTTTTTTCTATTGGGAGAATATAAAAGAGAGAGCGAGGAGGCCGTCTATAGAGGACTACAAATCCCAGCAATACACAATAATCTGACTCTACATACTCTGTTGTTCCAAGGTGGCGTCCTGATGTCTCCAGGGTCTCGGGTGGGCAGTGCAGTTTCTCACCTGTGTGTGTGTGTGTGTGTGTGTGTGTGTGTACATCGGCCTGCGACTGTTTACAGACGCCCGCGGCTGACGGAAAGAAGAAGCTTCGATCGGATGTGGCTGCCTGTGGTCTCGCACTTGCTGGGGACCTCAGCAGCCGTATCTGTCTAAAAATTTGAAGTGCACTGAGTCTTGTGCCTGGGTGTCGGCTGTGAACCCGGACACGAGACTCAAAAACCGGACTGTCCTAGCTATGCCACATAGTGGCCACAGTGCCTCTCCTCCAACATCAAGGCGGGCACACGTGGCACCCACACCTTCAGTTTTCAAAAGCGCGGCTTCATGCATAAAATGTGTGCCAGTGGTAGACATGGCCGGCCTCCTGGTCAAGCTAAAATTTTGCTCCAGGCAAGCCAAGAGGACTGCCCGAGAAGAGCAGTGCAGAAAATGTTTTAGGTGCCCGTCACCTAGGACCAGTAAAACACAGTGGGGTCCCAGAGACTTGATTTTTTTGGGGGGAATGCCACTTCCGGTAGGGGGTACAGTACCGTGACCCTCTGTGCTCCCAGCCCATACCAGGTAGATCCCATCAAGAGGAACTGGAACCCTCCAGATCCTGGAACAAGGGAAGTACTCCTGACCACCCCGCCCACTCTTACATGTCCGGACACTCAATCCAGTTTCCTTAACCGGAACCCTTTGGGGGCCCCCCCATCATCGCGTCATCTTTCCCCTCCTGAGCACTGAGAAGAGCAGATACTACACTTGGGCTTCACCAGAAGGTTGAGAAGCGATTTGGACTGGACCACCATTCTGGTCTAGGTGAGAACGTGTCCCTCTGGGGATATCCACTTCACATATCCC